ATCCTAGCCCTGCTTTAAGACGTGGGAACTTGATTCACCCCCCCCCCGCCCCCAGAGCTCAGCCTGGGGATCAATTTTCGTTTTTAAAAAGGGGCCGCGCTCCCCTTCTTTTTTTTTTTTTTTTTTTTTTTTTGTGGTTGCAGTCTTGAGCCTTAAATGTTGCTAAGAAGGGTGGGAACTTTATGCCTCTTTTTAAAAAAGTAAAAGGCTCATGAACGCTAATCTAGAAAGAAATGAGAAGGCTGCTTTTTTTTATTCGCCCACCTCCACCCTTCCCTTTATACTGAGCAAATGCCATTTCTGGCGCCAAATGGCCGTCCCCCTTCTGACTCGCCGCCCACCATCTTCCCCCATTCTTTGTCTGCACGCTGCCAGGCACATGAATGCGGGGCTGGCTGGCTAAGGGCTTCCTCCTCCCCTGCTTTTCCAGGCTTAACCAACTGCTCGCTTCCACCTCTCCCCGCATCCTTGCTCGGTTTTCAGACCGATCCACATTTTGTGAACGATTCCCATTTTCTTAGAGTGACGTTCGTCTGTCTTCCTGCTGAGTGGCCACCGCACCATTGCTGCGGCCTTTGTGTGTGTAATGGCTGCTGGCTGGGTGGGACTCTCCAGCCAGAGGGGGGCGGGGAGCATTGAGTAGTAGTCCTTGCTTGTCAGACGGAAGCACCGTGGCCTTAAAAAAATCCCTAGCTGCTTGTGGCGTCTTACGAATCATGAGCGTCACGATCAATCTCCCTTTCTTTTCATTTTTGCCTCTTTAAATAGGGACAGTGTCTTCCAAGCGCGGTCATCTTGCACTGGCTGCCGGCCATCCTAAAATTCCTTACTAGTGCTGACATGTACATAGCTCCTTAGATGCTGAACTGGCTTGGATCCAGATTTAAATGTTCTTGTGCAGCGGTTTCATACAAAAGCCCTTTGACTCCTAATTATTAAATATTAAAAGGAATATGCTCGCTCCCAAGTGTGCAGATTGGACAGAAAATATCTTATTTGTGTGCTGTGCAGGGGGTGATTGATCTAAGGTGTGTCCCTCCCAGCAGAGCTGGAAACAATGGCAGGCACCCTGTAGGCAGCTGCCCACCCTACACTTTCCCCCAGCCTCACATATTTCCAGTTCTGGGCTAGTTGGATGTTTTAACTGGAATACCTTGATGTTTGTAATAATCCACATAGTGAACAGGAAGCATAAGAGCAGAGCTTTTGTCAGGTGCATCTTTCAGTACCCCTCCCTATAAATTAGGTAATGGATAATGGGTCCCAGAGAATAGCAGGTAAATAGATGATCCATTGTCACAGCTGGTGCAGGGTAAAGTTGCAGATTGCACATAATTCTTTCTTGGGTCATTCATTTGGGAGTTCTGTGGCACTCACACACCCCTTTGGTATGTTTCTCACACCAGTGTGTGTTGGCGCTCTGAAGAGCCATTTGACCCATATTATAACTGACACACTAACACTCCAAAGAGTTGCTTTTTCCATTTTCCTGCATCTATTGCTCTGCGTCACTATATTTAATAGTGAATTCTAGACAATGTCTCTTTTATGGGGCAGGATGTGTATGGAGGCACAGCTTCAATAAGATGCTGTACCATTTGAGAATCTGAGGGCTGGGAATCTAGTGTGATGAGTCATAGGCAAGTTTGGACCCCAATTCTATTGTTGCTCCCAAGTGAATGACAGCTTTTCCTTTCTATGGGAGAATGAATCACAGTGTATTTCCTGATCGACACCACTAGGATCTGGGCTAAAAGTGCCCCCTCCTTTATGGGGTCCTAGCCACTGAAACCCAAACTGCTTTCTGTCCATTCAGTCCCATCCTTGGTTCTATTTCCTGGTCATGCTAAGATGTGAGGCAATGGAGAGAGGTGTGGGATGGGACACAACAAATGCTGTCACATAGACAAAATAGGTTTTTGCATTCAGCTGTAAGGTTGTAATTGCAAATGAGGACAATTCAATTCTGTCACTATCCTATAAAGATGTTAGTGGGGTGGTCTTTTTAATGGTGAACCTTCTCTAGTTATGATCTAGAATAAAAAAATGGCAGAACCAGTATCCTTTAGTATAAACTATCTGGATATTAAATTGCTTCTAGAAAGTTGAAGGTTTCAGCTTTTAAGAGCTGCTTGGGAGATTCACCCAGCCCGGTAAGCCAGTGTCTGCTATTTCCCAGCTGCCCCACCCTCATTCACCTCTGCATGACCTACATTGCGGTACCCGCTTTAGCATGCAGGTGGGTGTGTCTGCGGATTTCTGCTGGCACCTGATGAATTAAAAAAGAGGGTCTGTCTATTGCGACAAGGTAGGAGAATTCTGCTTCGAGCACGGTTGCCAATTTTCCTTTAGAGCAAGGAGCATTCTTTATTTCGGAAATTCTGCCATCACCCCCGTTCCTTTTCTCTTGGAACATGAGCTTCCCCACCGCAGCTGCTCTGCTCAGCCCTTTATTTCAGCGCCTGCTAGAGCTGCCAGCACCAGCAATCGCTCAAGTTGGCTTTTTTGCATGAGTGCAGTTTCTGGCCTGGTTGGGTCTGCAGTCTGGGTGAGGCTAGACCAAACTCATGCCCCCCCCCCCGGTGTGTTTAAAAATTTATGGCTCTGCAGTGCCTGGGGCATCTTTGGCTACCACGTGGCAGTCTAGGAGTGGCCCAGCCGGGATCTGCATTTCCCTTGGCACTGTCTTCAAGACAGACATGGAGGGGGCAGAATCAGCCTGAGTCTTTGAGAAGAACAAATGGTACAGCATCCTTCCCCAACCCAGCACCCTCCAGATGTGAGGGACTACAGATCCCATCACCCCAGCCAGTTGGAAATGGTGGGAGTTGTGTTCCATCTGGAAGGCTCTAGGAGAGTGAGAGTTGCTGTTGGGAGAGGGCCTGACCTAATGACCACTTAGTGCAAATCTTGTAGTTTTGGGATACGGCTTTATGAATCTTCTCCATTTAGCATCAGCTGACTTGGCTGTACAGTACAGAGTGAATTAACATGTATACACACACAGAGAGGAGGAGAGCAAGTGCTTTGTCACCAGTTAGCCTTCTCTTCAAAAATGGTGGCGATATCATCTTTTTGTTTTTACAGGAGTATTAATGGATCCGTTTGGTATGACTTATGTAAGGCATTAGCAGTGAAGAACTGTAATAGATGTGTGTTTTATTAGCCAGCATGGGTCAGGTTTGACACACACTGTGCCTGACACTGAACTGCAGGCGGTCCTGGTGCTGGATTGTCTCGTATCTATTCTGAATGGAGGGAATTTTCTGAAGAAAAAGAT